TTATTTACTCATACCTTAACTCTTTATTGGTTCTTTCAGGCGCCTTGTTTGCCGTTTTCCTATACCGTAATGTCAAATACTGCCTTAAATGCTATTTCAATCACTGTTGGCATATTTTTTGTTTTCTTTGGTAGCCTAAAATTAGCTCCAATATTTTCTGAGGAACTTTACCGTGATATGGTACGATTAACATTGCACTTATTAATTATAGCGCAAAATTTTCATCAAATCTAATCAAGCCTTTCCTTTTCAATCACTCTTACCTGATGTCCCTGGTCCCCATGCTGTAAGGAGGGCCTATGGAAGTATTGAAGTTATCTGTGGAACTATTTTGGCAATGTGTCCTGGTGTTATGCGAGATGTTAGTAATTGTGTATTAATCATGTTGATGTTGTTCAACCTGTATGAAGTTTGGATCCTTGATCAGGGCTTCAAAGAAGCATCACATTCTCTTGTTTTCGGTTTACTGTTGACCTGCAGAGTCGTTATCAGAATACAGGTGCGCTATTTCCATTTTGAATCTATACATGCTGATTCCGGTTCCGCATGTCCTATTATTGTTTTTTTTATATTTTTCTCTGATACAATATCATTTTAGGTCTGGTCACGTGATAATGAGATTTGTGAATCAAGCGAAGTGGATAACATGGATGAAACTGCTCTTAAAATGCGTGTGGCTGATTTGCAGCGAAATTTAAAGGAGGCTAAACGGCTTGCTGCTATGCAGACCTCGTTTAATGTATGTCAAAATTCCTGTGCGATCCCAGACTGTATTGTCACCTCTAAAAGTAATACGAATGGAAATCTTACATAGCCTAAACTTTTATTATTAATTCACCGAATCCATTAAATTACTCTTGTACATATATATATATACACTGTTATTAACCTCAGTCTTTTTATATTTAATTGAGTGCAATATCACCCTGTATTAGATCAATCCACCCATTTAGTGTCTTCTACTCGTAGTTTTTCTGACCTCTGTGCATGGCTCACATTCCTCTTGAAATAAACACTAAAGTTCGTGGATTTCTCTATGTTGTTAATTTAGTTATGTATTCTCCAAACCTTTTTATGATTTGATTTACCATATGCTTCTCATTTTGAAGCGATATTATAGTATTTTACTTGAAAGAATATCATGTGAATGCTTTGGGTTACATACTTTCTGCTGGTCGTATAATAAATTTAACCTGCTATCGTCGAGGCTTACGATATTTCTCTTCCTAGAGAGGCAGTCATACTCTCCAAAAGCTTTCTTAATCAACTCTATCCGTCGCCAAATCTCTTGGTGCCCGTCTCGCCTCAGGTATGCTTTATTAATATATTCATTTAAGCGATTAATTGGAACCATTTACGGATTTTTGGTTATTTCACTAAATAGGCATGCGTATTTTGCAAATCATTTTATCGCATGCAAAATCAAAACTTAAAATCGCCATCAAAGACATTAGGCCTAATGTCCGTCTGGTGCAATCA